CACCAATCTCTAATCCCGCTTACCCATGCTGCAGTGTATGATGGTGAACTACGATCAGCAAACAGCAAACATGGCTCACAGTAGGCACTATCTAGCTTTGGTGAATAGCAAAGCCATGTATGAGGTATCGTTACTCTTGCTTTTGTTGAGGTGGTATAATAGGTTTTAGAAAAACACCGTCCTCCTTGTTTTGGGTCTCCTGGAAATTCTGTATCAGGTTTACAGGAACCATGTGACAAAATATATCGCTTTGTTTGAGCATCCGTTATGTCTAAAGGGAAATCTGCGGGGTATTTTCTTACAATGCTGGTAACAGTTTTTGCTGTATCATCCGTTCCACATTTTGAAATGTCAGTTTCCCCTGCCAATGTCTCACAAACATGTAGTTCGTTACTGTCCTTTTCCTCTGATTCCCTTCTTGCTTGTCCACTGGTTCCTGGTTCATTTGATTCTATTGCTTCTGACAGTTTGCTGGCTCCACTCTGTGTTGTGATCATCTATTATTCCTGTTTCCTCAACGAGACTTGGTGCTGGTGTATTAGCCTGCACACTGTCTGTAGGCTCACTAGTGCTCTCCTTTGTGGTTGAGTAGATATCAACTTTATGAGGTCTGGTATCAGGTGCCTGAAGAAATACATTAATTTTGCGTTGTTTGGCCATCTTTGTTTGTTCTTCCCTCATTTCCTTACGCTTTTGCGCACCAATGTTACATTTAGGTGGCATCTGAAAAAATGTAAGGGATTTTTCTAACTAATAAAGACTATAAACATGTTGAACACAAATAATAAGCCTCTCTAAACCATCAGCTATACAGGACTACAAATCCCAGCAATACATTATACAGCAATGCATAGTGCCATGGGCTATTGAGGACTACAATCCCAGCAATACTTTATATAGCAATGCAGAATAGCATTGGCTATAGAGGACTACAAATTCCAGCAATACTTTACAGCTAGGAATGCACCATTACCATTTTTTCAAGTCCGAGTAGGAGTACTGATACTTTTCCAAAACTACTCACTGATACCAAACACGAAAACCCTTTTCTAGTGTCATGTGACAGTTTTTCTAATAATAGTATAATATAAGGAATGAATGGTGTGGAAAAGGTTCAACTGGCAAACAGGAATAAAATCACATACAATTATTTTGCATACATTAAAAGTTACCTATCCTAAAAACTAATAGAAACAGTATTGTGGCCCGCCTCATTGCCATAAATAGCTGTCCAACATGGACAACCCCCAACAGTTATAACAATTTTCAATTGCAATACTTAGCTCTTTTATATTAAATATAGCAGTTGAAATTGAAAATTGTTTCAACTGTTGGGGGTTATCCATGTTGGACAGTTATTTATGTCAATGAGGCGGGCAACATTATTGTTTATATTAGACTTTAGAATTGGTAACCTTTAATATATGCAAAATAAAAATTGTATGTGATTCATATCTATATTATACTATTATTAGGTATTGTTCAAATTAAAAGCGTGTCATGCTTTTTCATAGGGTCAAGCCATTTCATACACCTGACAGTTTTTCTAAAACAATACAGACTAATGATTTTAGAACAGTGGTGGAGCACAAAAGCCAAGTTGCAGCTCCAACCCTGGCATTTCTGCCACTGACTTCAAGCTGTAGAGGAACTACAGATCTCAGCAATACATTATACCGCAATGCAGAATACCACCAGCTACAGAGGACTACAAATCTCAGCAATACATTATACAGTAATGAAGTATAGTATAGTAGTATATGAATTTGCTACATACTCTGTACTGCAGCTCTGTCCCCAGGTGCCAGCCTAATGTCTCGATAGAAGTGTCTCAGCAGGACAGATGGAGGATCTCAGAAGGGCAGATAGAAGATCGCAGCGGGGAACATGGAGAATCTTAGGTGGGCAGATAGAAGATTTGAGCAGAGGCACATGGAGGATCTCAGGGGGCAGCTAAAAATTTGCAGCAGGGGCAGAGGTCTCATGTGTGGGTTGGAGCTGTATACAGGCACCGCTGTGCTGTGGTTCCCTATAAAGCTACTGTGAGGTCTCCAGGAAGCGCAGGACCTCACAGCAACTGAAAATTGCCACCTCCAATGATGACGGACCTACCGCATAAGGCTGGGATGGGTGGCAGGGCGCGCAGTTTCATCCAGTCCTGGCCCCTCTCCCCCAGGCTCTAATAGTTTCTTACTGATTTGCATTTGCTTGCTATTGCAAATGTGCTGCCAATTTAGCTTGCATCCTCCACCAATTGCAGAGGTCAGCTTAAAAGTAAAGCTTGCAAGGAGGTAGTCCAGATCCCAAATGCATTTAAGGGCTTCCTGCCCGTGTTTGTTCTTCAAAATCAATCAGCCTCCTGGTTAGTCAAGAGATGATTTGGGGTCTGCTTAGACTTGCAAGCTGTTCTAGCACAAATGTTCCTTAAACTCCCTAGCGGTATGATTATGCAGGATTTTAGCATGCCAAAGGGGTACATTGTTTTTCATGGCAATTTGTTGTTTTATATTGTAGGCCTGTAATTCTTGGTAAATCTTAGGAATAACTCACCTAAATCTGTCCAAACAAGAGTCCAGTAGACATCCCGGGTATAAAAGTTTGAAACACGAAATCATAAATTATAATCTAATAAATAATTATAAAAAAATATAATATAATAAAAATGGTCCAGTAAATAGGAATTCTGGGGGCGCTGCCTGATCTGTACCACAGTCAATAGAGTACTAAGTTCGCACATCACTGAGCTCGGTCGCAGAATCGTCACTTTCAGTTTCTGATGATGAATTTTCCAACGAATCGCTATCGCTCAATTCTGCAAGTGATTCTAATTTACTATCGCTGTTTTCTACCTGGTCTAAAACCGCTTTTGACCTAAAGTGACGCTTTTTGGATGCCATGGACGTTCTCAAGTTTCAGGTCAGAAAGAACAGTAAAAGTGCAGGCAGTGCACTGGACAAAGCTCTAGGGACAACATTGAAGTGAAAGGGTTTGATAATACAATGTAATCTGCTATGATTACATTTATGTGTGTGTATTCTGTGTATATTGCATGTTTTCATTTTTGAATTTCCCGCCGGCTTCGCCCCCCGCGGTGACGCCGAAAACGAAACAAAGTCAGATGCCAGCATCGGCCGGCTGCGTACAGCAGAGGACACCGCGGGCTCATAGGGACAAGGTAAGTGACACTTTTGTGCAATCCCGAGTGTGGCTCGGGGTTAACACTATTGGTACTGAAAATGAACCCCGAGCCACACTCAGGAATACCGCCAGGGAGGTTAAAGTGTACCCATGAAGAAGAAAAAGGTAATGTATTGCTGCTCATCATTCCTTAGAAGTAATGACTATATTCAATTTCTTTTGCTTCTTTTTCTTTATGTTCACTTGACGATCCTGCCAGTAACACACTTTTTGTCCTAGGGTGACAGTGTTCCTCACTGCACCCCATCTATGGAGGAGCAGCATTATCACACTAGGACAGTAAGCCCTAGTTCCTAACATAGGTGAGAGGTGTTCTTTAGTTCATAGAGATCAACTGGGGAGGGCTGAAAATAGTGCTTGAAATTTCACGGCAGGAGGTTTTGATTCCATTGGATATATGGCAGATCAACAGTTTTTTTTTTATGCACTTACACTACAATGTACAATACTACACTTATACAATTGTAATCATATATTTTAACAGTTCCAAAGTGAACAAATAAGAGAAGTTAATTGTTAGGGTTTACCTACGCTTTAAACAGCGGTCAGCTGTTTCACAAACAATATACTTTATATTGTAATAATGTGATGAACTACTGATCAAAACTAAAACAGAATGTTATGCCCAAACCAGAGTAAAAACACTTGGTAGTTTATAAAAAATGTTTCACATTACATGGGAAACTTAAAATGTTCAAAATTTGTTCTTTTACAATGTGGCAAAAAAATGTTTGCAGTCAATTTTCAGAAATAGTTCATATTGTCCTGAAATGCTAAAAAGCTGAAATTCTTACATTTATACCATGATATTTGTATGCATTTAAAGTATAGGGTTTGCAGTTTTTAGCCATCACATAAACACAGCATCTGTATTTTAATAACAGTATTTATATTACATAATTCAAAATGTTTATATAATACATATAGCCTTTCAATAATTATAATAAAATATGTCTTAAATGCTGCCCACCGAATGTTTGCACTAATCAGCATAAAAGTGTAAAGATTTAAAAGGTCAACTTCACAAAATGAATATTTCAGTTCTGCAAGAATGTGGTCACGCTGAATAATTAGCTGGATTTTTATAACATGGGAACTCCAGTAATTACCTAGATTTCCAAGTGTTGTCTACCTGCTGTTGCCATTGTAAACCAAATTGTGGGGCTACCTTCACCCCCCCAGTTGAATTCCACACAATACAGAACAAACAACTGAGTAATTCAACTGCAAGACAGTGATACTCATCCACATTTTTAGGAAGGGGGCAGTGACAAACGGCTGCTTTAAGGAAATCTCAATAAATAGAGTCTGCAAAAGGCATAATTTAACCCACCAGTGTCCATCCAGAAATAAAATATCAGTACAGTAAGTCCCCTACATGCAAACATTCAAGTTGAAAACTTTCAAAGAAATGAACATGCGTTCACATGTCAAATCACGTAGGTTAGTTCACGTGCCTGGCGTACATTGTCATGTGCTTTTTGTGTACTTTACAGTACAGTATCTTTATTTAAAGCCCAGGATGTCCAGAAGCAAGCGTAAAAGCAGCAGTGATGTAGCTGGGTACCAAGGCTAACATTGTTGGACTTAAGAACGTGCTCTCGGAATGTAGGGGACTTACTGTATCTTGTAATTCTTTTAAAGCAATTCAAACTTATTTTGTAAACAGTGCTCAGCAACTTGTTCATTTATTCTCATCACCTATGCAGGGGTGTTGCATAGGTGTTGCAGTGAAGTTCAGAATGCTGCTCACTCGTTGTCAGCCTAAGGTTTCCAAAGCAAGTCCTAATGAATTAAGATATTGCTCAAGACTTCAAACCCATTGTTTCCATCATTTTTTCATATACTGTCCATGCCATTGCTGCCATGAGAGTTCGGCGTAAAGCTCGAGGTAAACCTCCATTAAAGAATCCAATCAAGCCATGATTCTAAAATAAAGAGCAAATAAACAAAATTAAATACAAATTATGCTAAACAAAAACTGGGGCCAACAAAAACTAGTGCATGTCTGAATCACAATATGTTTTGCCTTTGTCTGTCCAACTTGAAACCATTAAATAAGCCATATACCATACATGTTACAATCTGCACATACAATCAACTTTAGATTTACTGAGACCATGTAATGTAAGGAGCTGTTTAGACTAAACTATCCCATCAATCTGTATCCAATTAGACGGGCCTTTGCCCTAGCCATAGTCAGCCAAGCAATAAGCATTTTAGAGGGAAGTCAGCAATGACAGATTCCATGTTTGTTTTAGTACTCATTTACTTTAAATTGTTTTGGGTAAATTTTATTTTATGTTTTTAAAACAGATGAGGAAAAGAACAAGGCCTTCCCTTGCAAGCACGCCATCTCCCACTGAAACCTCAGAAAGCGCCATTAATGTGCACGTGCTGTATCTTATGACACTGCTATTATTACACGTATAAAATGCTCATGTTAGAGCCCATTATTTAATCTAATTCCATGAAACAGTTTCAGGTGTTCCCTCCCTTTCTCAAGATACCATGCATCAATGCTTATTAGTCTAATAGCACTTTAGGGAATAAAAGGAATAGCCTGGATCTTATGAGATTACATGAATATGATACTATGCAGACCATAAGTGAAAGCTGTTATATAAATGGATTGGCATACAATATTAAAATAAAAAAGAGTGGAAGCTGGCTACCATCATATACTGAACAGCTACTCTAAAACACCAAATTACTCAATATATTCACAAAACACATACATAAGAGATGCAGTAGAAAGTAAGCCTACAACATACCTTATAGATAGAGCAGGCAGCATGACCAGTCCAGCGGTATTTCTCTGGTGAAAGCTGCATATGAGTTTTAATTACATCAGCTGGCTGGGTACTTATGGATGCAAGGATACCAGCCATGATGCCACAACTGAAGTTCATTAGGGGAATGAAGGTTTGGTCAAAATCACCTGCAGAAAGAGACATGCTACATAGTTTGATCCAGAACAAATCAGAACAAAGATAAACACCGAAACATATCGCTGTTTAAGGGCCCATTCACACCACATCATCTTCAGACCAGACCAGATTGTTTCCGGACCCAAAATGCAGCCTAATGTATACCTATGATATTTCTGGCCTCTGTTCCAACCAACGCAGCCCGTTCCAGACGAGACCAGACCAGACCAGAAAAATACTGCTTGTCTCATTTTGTCTGGTCTGGAATGCACTGGAACTGTGGGCAGGTTCACACTATTTTCCGGACCAGATCTGGAACAGATCTAGTCCGAAAAATGGTGTGAACCTACCCTAATATAGTACTATGTACATTATATTTGTAATATATTTATAATTCTTTTATGAATTTATCATAGTGCTACCATACTCCAAAAAACAGAGAGAAATGTAAAAATATACAAATGATGTGAAAAAGCATTAACAAAAACTGCAAGAAGATGCATTTTTTATTTTTTTTATTTAGTGAATTGTTGAGAAATAGAATGTGATACATTACTGGCAAAAGAGGAATATGAGGGGTCACTGTAACCATATTGAAAAATAAATTTTTAAAACTCATTGTAAACTCCTATTCTCCAGTAGTTCATTGGAGGACCCAGCACTTCAGTCTTCAACATGTGGGCATACTGCCACCTGCAGGAAGTTTGGACGCTGCAACAGTATTTCTTGTAAAAACAACTAAAACTTGGCAAAAGGCCAACATTAAAAAAAAAAAACACCCATCCAATAAACTATTGGATAAAAGGATTTTATGTTCAGTAAAAAAATCCAATGTGGTCTAGCGTTCTTTGGAGGACACAGCACTCTGGTCTTCAGTTTATAGGATACCTAAAAGCAATCCCAAATGCGGAGAGGGCAAGAGTATCCAACGTTACAACAAAGAGGGTAATTCCTTACAACCAATAAGTGAGTGATCACACGTCTGCCTGCAGGACCTTCATGCCTAGCTAATATCCACTGATGCAGCCAAACCTACGTAATAGAATTTTGTAAAAGGGTGTACGGAATACAAAGTAGCAGGTTTGCAAACTCTTGAAACTGACACGGCCATGGTCTTGCCATGGTCGTAAGGTGTATGGGCAACAGATTGGCCCAGGTGGAGATTACTCCATCCACACAGTTAAGTGTAGATGGAGGAATCTGTTGCACCTTTTCCATCTGACCACAGAAAATCTGCAGATAATTGTAAGGGGTATGGCCAGCTTTACCCTCTGCTGACAAAACACAGGGGGTTGCTCACTCTGCACAGCGGCTATTCAGCAAACACCTAGTATTTTTATCAGTGAATACTAGGCGTTCTTTAAATGAACGAGGAGAGATGTCACTGTGTTGAGTGAGCGACCCGCTATGTTTTCACAGCAGTTGGGAAGTCGCTGAGCACAGCAGCAGTTCAGGACCCAGAACATCACTGTAAAGCACTGAAGTAGATGCGGCTATTACATTGCTTTACTGGATCCTGTGGCCACACCAGGGAGAATTTATGTGCGATGTATAGTTACATTGTGCCCAGCTGGACCAATGTAAGTATATCAATCATTAAAGCTGGTGTTCAGCTTTAAGTCTACAGGTTTAGATGATGATGAGCTGTCAAACCAACTTGGAGATAGTGAAGCAAGGCAGTCCCCTACAGGGACCCTTAGGAATGACAAAAAGGAAGTCACTTTGTCTGAAGGAAGCTTTAGCGGTAAGACTCAAGCAATGTTTGCCACTACAATGGAGGGATTTCTCCCTGGAATATCAAAAACAGGACATAAAGATGGAAGGGAGAACAATGTCCTGGTTAAGGTGGAAGAAAAAAGGCCTTAGGCCTCAAGACAACCTTGCCTCTGTATAGTACAAGAAAGGGTTCTTTACAGGACAAGGTTGCCAACTCAGAAACGCCCTTTGCCAAAAGGGATGGCAACAAGGAAGTCAACCTTGAAGTGAGAGTAGACAGGGGAATGTCCCTAATATGTTCTGGAGATCTGACAGTCACTGGGGTACATAATTCCTGGAATGGAAATCCCTTGCTGTATATCATGAGAAATATGCTTTCCAGGTGTGATGGTAAATCCGACTTTTTAACTTTCAGGAGAGTAGGGATAACAGAATCAGATAGGTCCCTATTCCTTAGGACCTGGGCTTCAACAGCGAGGCCAATAAAGCCAGCAACTGAGAAGCAGGATAGTAAAACAGGTCCGTGGGATAAAAGATCTAGATGATCTGGGGAAAGCCCAAGGAATGTCCGGCCTGGGCCAGTTAGGTCTGATGAGAATCACTGGAATGCATTCCATTTCAATCCTGCAGTGAAGACGATTAAATAGTTACAAGTAGGAAAGGCATAGAGGAGGTTGAACTGTTCCAACAGAGTCACCAGAGCATTCGCTGTGAAGGCTAGTGGATCCCTGGTGGCGGGAGACAAACTTTCTCAATTTGTTGTTGAGCATTAAAGACAGAAAATCTAAGTCCGGTGTCCCCCCACCTGCAGAGGCCTTGAAACATCTTGCAGTGAAGAGACAATTTTCTCGAGTCCAGACAGTGATGATTGAGGAAGTGCCAATTTACCGCAACCAGAAGTTGGTTTCTCTTTGAGCTACTGGTTCCTCCCTGGTGGTTGATGTAAGCCACTGCCATGGCATAGTCCGACTGAATCCTGGATGGATTCTGGCTCCGATTTCCAGAACGTTAATCGGGAAATGAGCTTCCTTTGGTGACCAAGTCACTTGCACTTAGAGATTTTCCAGGACTCCATTGTGGGAACCTACCAGAGCAGCAGGAGGAAATATTTCCCTCACTCCAGGGCAGGACTCGAGAGCAACCAGGCCAGAGCAAGTGTGGTTTTAGGTGTCAGGCATATGCAATGGTCCAGAGACTGGTCCTTCTTGTTTCACATAGCTGGAATGTGTAGCTGCATTGGTCTGGAGTGAAAATGGACATGTGGATCTGCTTTAAAATAGGCTACCATTAAGCCCAGAACTCTCGTGCAACATTGGAGGGTTGCTCAAATCCTAGACTGTAGAATCCAAACATAGGAGAGGAGAGTTTAGAGTTTTTCCTGTGGGAGGAATATCCTGGACAGATCAGTATCCAGGAGAAGGCCTAAATACTGATTAATCGGATCCAGCGCTAACTTCTGGAGGCTCAAGATCCATGCGCAGTTTAAACAGTTGACCATTAACTGAGAGTCTGTGCTGACTCTTCCCTCAGTAGAAGGGCGTCCAAGTATCTCACTATGGGAATGCCTTAAGAGCAAAGCAGAGCAAGTACATGAGGGCCACAAACTGGTAATGGCGTGTTGGGGACGTGCAAGTATGCATTTTTGATGTCCACAGAGGCCATAAAAGCTCCCTAGGTGGAGGGATGCAATGACTGACCTTGACAAGTCCATGCAGAATTCCCATAAGGTGTTGACAGCCTTTCGGTCCAGAATGGCGAAAGCCACCTTTCGCTTTTGGATCTGTAAACAGGTTTAAGTAGAAACCCTGGAACCCCTACTTTTCCGCAACAATGGCTATGACCCCTTAAGAGAAGAGCTGTGCCAGAGCAGTGTGGAGGTCTGCTAATCGTTGCGAGGACGTTGACAGGTTTGACAACATGTAATCCAATAAAAATATGTGCTGTAACCTAAAAACTAGAATGTGAGTAATGGTATAAAAACCCAACAGGTTATAAAACATACAAACCAAATTAAACACAGCTCCGAAAAAAAGCAATAATAAAAAGTGTTTACTATGCAAATGCTCATGAACAGTATTGTGCAAACAGCATAAACCCAAATAAGAAAACAACAAAAGTCCACAATGGGAAAAGGGAAGCTGTATATATAATCCTCCTTGATTAAATCTGCACTTCCCAATGAATAGGAACCTTATGGAAAGGTGGTATGCGAGTTCTTACTTAACACACCTCACAAACCCAGTAATAACCGATAAAGAAAAGGTATGCATGCATCGCGTAAACATATCTTTATTAAATAAAATCACTCGAGGATGTCTGGATGGATGAAAACTTTGAGAGGGCACAGCAAGCAAAATCGCTCCCGAGGTCTTCACATCTGTTAGGGGCGGGGTGACATAAATGAGAGGTGGGAGTTACTGGTTGTGTACCTCAGTTAGACTATGCCATTGTTTCTTGGCGTGGGATATAGCAAACACAGACATAAGTCTATATCTTCTATGTTGACAAATAAAGAAGGATGCATGCATCTTTTATCAAAAGAAGAAAGAAATGGTATCCTTAAGCTTTGGATTTAGGTCAGTAGACTGGACACCTTATATGCAAAGTCATCAAACATAGATAGGGTACATTCCTCTTAATCTTCAAATGATTGTGCAGAAGCAGCTGTAGTTAGAAGGAAATCAGAGGTGGACTCTGGAGGAGGAGTGGATGCACACTTATGGCCTCTACCTTCTGAGTCAGATAACACGGCTGGAATTTTCCCTATAACCTTAAGACATAGTAGCAGAAAATCTACTTGCATAAGAAGAAAACCACCCCTGAAAGGGGTTAATGAGGCATGTTGGGAACGGTGGTCCGGGCTATCAGTGTCAGGTCCTTTAGAAGATATACTGAAAGCCCCAGTGGAATGGTTACTGGATTGTAAGCTGACAAGGCCCATAGGACCGCTGGCCCTTGTTCTTATGATCTGCCATAATATGCAAGTGAGGGTTTCCCACAAAGGGTACTCACAAGAACACTGCAGAAGCAAAAATGAGTTTATAACATGTGTGACTTGTCACTGGAGACAGCAGGAAGCCCAAGTAAATGCCCTGGAGGATCGTGGGGCAGGTGTGGCTAAGGAGAAGACTTCAGAAAATGGTATGTGCATGAGCAGTATGATAAACCAGAAGGAGGCTGTGTAGACTCAGTAGAGACACACGGCCAGTGAGCCCAGTATAATGGTGCCAATTTTTAAAATGGGACTGTGGCTCCTCCAGCCCGCTACCGACAGGGTAGTAGCTGGCGTCTTCTAAATTAACCCCCTAGGGGATTCAAGGGGCAGTTTAAGCATGCCTAGGCTCCCTTAAGAGCAATGCCCTAACTTACCACAGCAGTGGTCCTGAGACACCCTGTGGCATGAAGTTTTGGCGATATTAGGCAGGATCAAGGGGACATGCCCAATTCAAACAGCCTTCTCCCTCCCCGTGGGTGTACTCCCTAAATTAGTCTTCAGGGACAGAGTGTCCTGTGCTCTGAAGACACGTACAGGCCGTCCCCACTTTTTCCTCACAGCAGGGTCTGGTTATGGCCTCCAAGGCTATGTCGAGGATCAGCCAATCTTTACCTAAATTACCATCCTTTGTCCCTACTGTGCAATTATGAAATACAGTTTATCAAACAAATCAAGCAGAGAATGACATTTAAGAAAACAATTGCAATATTAATTTCAGCAAAATGAAAACTTACTCTGTAAAGCAAATCTTTTGGCTTGCGTATAAAACATCAGATATATGCCTGAAAAAGGAGCATCTCGGAGCAATGTAGCAGTGAGACCGCTAAACAGGCCGCGAGCACCTTCGGTCCTGTATATGCTACCCAGTGCACCAAATACACTTTTATAGCCATAGTTACCACTCTGCAAAAGAGATTGAAGAGAAATTATTTATATTATTTTGAAAGTGTGGACTTTTTAGTTACCCAATAAAACATACATAGTTATTAAAATATATTCTTTATATTACAATTAAAAATTACACATTTGACAACCTCCATCAAGTAAAGTTTGCAGCAATATACAGTATATAAAAGAAAGACCTCCGCGTCCTCAGACTCCATCTACCACATTGCCTATTACAAATGGGCAAACTACATATCAATATTAGATCTTAGAGCAGGGGTGCCCATAAGGTCGATCGCGGTCTACCAGTCGATCGTGTAGCGATCACTGGTAGATCGCAATGTTCTGTCTTCTCTGGATCCCCGCTGCTCTCCCCCATCTGTATGCAGCGGGGATCCGAGGAAAAGTGAAGCTGCAGTCGGCGGCGGGAGACGGAGCCGCTATCACAGCAGCACGCCGAGCGGTGAGGAGAGAGAGACACGCTCGGCTTGGATCTGACAGCTGGCGGCTCTCTCTCTCCTCACTGCACATGCTGCTTTTACAGCGGCTCCGCCACCCGACCCCCCCACCCCGGCGGCTGAAGTGCTTTTTTCTCTTCTCCTCGAATCTCCCGCTGCCTCTGCCCAGGAGAGCAGGGGAGATCCAGAGGAGAAGTTGCAGCCCCCCTCTGTGCGTGGCCGAGCGGCAGAGGATCGGTACATATCAATGATATGTACCAATCCTCTGTGCAGGACAAACACTGGAGCGATCAGCTGATCACTCCAATGTTTGTAAATAACTGGGGACACATAGTACTATGTGTCCCCAGTTATGAATGAACACGATGTGATTTACATCACTTCCTGTTCATTCATGAGTTTCTCAATGGGGAGAAGCACTCTGTACAGAGGCTCATCCCCATTCAGAAACTGGTGATAGTAAATATTTTCTGAATGAATGGGAAGCCTCTGTGCTTTCCATTCATTTAGAACAGAGGCTGCAGAAAAAGAGATTGAGGACTTTGTGCATTGACTTTAATGCACCGCCACGCCCCCTCCCGCCCCTGAACGCAGTTGTTTTCCAGTGGTGGGCAGGTAAAGGATTGAGGGGTGGGTTTGAGTAATTTGGTTAATGTTGTAATACGATCATCTGTCAACTTTATCAAAGGCATGATTGGGCCCTTTATCTGAATATGAAAATAGCGTGATCAGATGGGGAATTTTTGAACTTCTGTGTATTTTTGGAGTTGTGATGCTGGAATACCCCACACATCTCCGGTGACACCGCACATTCCCAGTGACCCCCGCACATGGCACTGCAGCCAATCAGCATTTCTCTCACATTTTCAAATCTTACTTGAGCAAACTGAAGAGAGATGCTTTTTACAAATAAAACATTTCTTGCTTACCCTACTGGGTCAATACCTCCCCTCACTCCCTTTGAAAGGCTTCTGCATTAGGGCAATCGTGGCTTTCGAACCATTTCTATCCTCTATGCCGTTATATTAGATACATTACAGACACCTCTCCCCTCATACACATCCAAGTGGGAACAGGAACTAGATTGCTCGATCACTGAAGACACTTGGACTCAGATTTGGTTCACAACCGCCTAGAGTTTGATGAATGTACAGGCTGTGAAAGCTAGCTACAAGTTGCTCTTTAGGTGGTATTTGGTGCCTCTCCGAATCTCCAGGGCCATTCCTTCTTACTCGTCCCACTGTTTTAGGGGTTGCAGGGTGGAGCCTTCCTGTTTCACTGTTCACACGTAGCAGACCGGAGTACGAACATTCTCCGCTCTGCTCTTCATACTGAACTAATTTGATGTGGTCCCGGGTCTCCCAGAAGAGCAGGGGGAACCCGGAAACCACAGCAGGAAGAGAGGCGGCCAGTGGGGAGAGAGGCAGCTGGCGGTGGGGGCGAACCATGGAGGGGACCAGCAGGCTTTTTAGAAGTGATCTTGACGACTGTATAGCCACCAAACTAACTTGTACAAGACGAGCGACGGCTTCCCCTCTGTAAATTTAGCACTGCTTGCCCGAAGCAGGGCTAATTGTAGGGGGAAAAAACCCGCCCGGAACTGCATGTCCTGGGTGATAGGAATTTGACATCCCTGCGCCATGATGCAGAGCTCAGTACTCCTATCATTGCCACTTTTTAGATACTTAATTACACAGGGAATCACCAAAGTCTAGTTTGCGTCAGAGGCTCTCTAACTGCTCTGAAAATGTGGCTAACTGACACAGCACACGATGGTCAGGAAGGGGCCACAGGCAGAGCCCAGTGCCAGCAGGACACTCAGTTTATCTCTGCCCCATCCATGGGCATACCAAAAGTGAATCTTCAGAGGCTGGGTCACACTGAAGGTTGTGCCATGTTTCTGGACCTGGAAAGTGCCCTGCGGTTAACGGTATAAGGTCTGGAAAGTGCCACTGGCAGAGCCCAATGCCCAAAGATCACATTCCCGGCAAGCCCCGCAATGTTTGGTCCAGTGGGGCTCTGGTACGGCCTCCAAGGCATCCATCGAGGATTAACCTATCTGGATAGCTGCTGTGCAGAGACCAGTTCAAATAGCATAATAAAATGTCTTGTTTGTAGAGAAAAAACAAATACGAAGTACTGAGAATGTTGGTGAAGAAGAACAAGAATAGTCAAAATGTAGAAAGGGTTTTCCTAAGCAGAGCTGAGGAAAAACTGTCCAACCTCCTAGGGCACTAGCAAAAAACTCAGGAATCCTGGTTACAGGCAAAGTTCTTAAAGGAGAACTATGGGGTTAAGGCTTTTCCCCATAGTTCTCCTTTGGGTAACGGGAGGACACAAACTAGCATCCTCCCGTTACCCTAAGCTCAGTATACCGCGAGCTACTGCTCGTGGTATACTGAGACACCGTAGCTGAAGCGGATCCTGACAATTATGTCTGGATCCGCCCAGCTGCGTGAGTGACAGCTGGCTCTGCCTATCTAGAGGCAGAGCCAGCTGTACCCGCCCCCTCCTCCATCCGATCCGCCAGTCAGCGCTGGCGGATCGGGGAGGGGGGAATCCAGCCCCTCCACTGTCACAGCAGAGAGCTGTGACAGGATCGAGAGGCGAGCGACCGCCGGTATGTGTTCGTTCACCTCCCGATCTACTGAGCCGACCTGTGGCAGTCTCATTGTCACTATGGCTAGAACTATGAGGTGAGTGAAAAGCACTCACCTCATAGTTCTCTTTTAAGGTTGGTTGTCTGCCAGTGTCCAAACCTCCTGAAGGCGGCAGTATAACCCAACTGTCTGAAAATACCCGATTATGTCCCCCTTAATAAACAAGAAAAATAAATAAATGTTGGCCAACACTCTACAATAGCACAAACTGCAACACAAGGAACTGAAAATGATGCTTCCAAATCTGTGTGGCAATGCAAAATTATTTGGCTTTCTCAAATACCTTGAAATCATTAAAAATATAGCTTGCAAATGTATAGTACAATCCAAAACAGTACTGCATTAACCTGTGAATGATGCGAGTTTCAGATTTGCGTAGAGACAATGTGATTTGGCATGTGGCTATACTTTTCAAACACGAAAAAAGCAGCATTAGCCAACTAATAATGCAAATTCTGAGATACCAACGGCTGTATATAAAGAAAATGACACTTTGAAATGTATGTGCAAACTAAATTTTTATAGCTTTCAGTCTGAGCACTGCACTTCTTCCTCACATATCAGAAATCACTGTTGCAGATAGATCCTCTAATTGTGGGCTGTGGTGCACCAAAGCCGCGGCAGACCTGCTTTCTGGCTGCTGAAAAGGTGGTTATGCCAACAATATGTGGGCAAAAACATTTATAATCATTTGGCACACAGTGCCAAAACTTTGTGAATTTCCAAGTTTGGCAAATCAATCTGGTTCAGGTAGACCAAATCACACCTAATGAATCAGCACACACTGTTATAAACCCGTAGATCAATTCACTTATCACAAATGGCATCTGCTACACACCACAAAAGTGAGAATGCTTACCTGTGAAATATTCAATGGAAATGTTAGTATTCACTGGCATTGCACAAACTTAAAAAAAAACAAAACAGTTTACATAAATGTTCTATTGTTTTTGTTAACGTGACTATTTAGTGTGACTTGCAACTCACCTCAAAACGAGTCTTTATGACTGTGAAGGGTAACATGCAAACTCCTGCCACTGTTCTAGATCCTGCTCCCAAACAAACGGATTCCAGAGGGCTGAGCTCCTTGCCTGAGAAAAGCTGTTGTTTCAGGAAATAGAGGGTACTAAAGTACACACCAACTCCAGGAATACATCGTAGAAATGACTGCCAGAACAAAGAGAAAGGGAACGTAAGAAAATCTTTACATTACACATTTAAACTATTAGGATTTAAAAGGACAACTGTACCTTTATTGCAATGATACAATTGTCCTTTACTGTTACAACAACAGAACTGTAGATCAGAAACGTGTGTTTTCAGTACAAAATAAATCCTTAGGTACCAGCAGTAGGGACATGAGGACTCCTTCATTGCTATCTATAGTGAAGGTGTAATCCAGGGGTAGACAACCTCAGCACTCCAGCTGTGCTGAAAATACAAAATCACATCATCCCTCTGCTGTCAATCTTGCAATGCCTCATGGGACTTTTAGTTCCACAACAGCTGGAGTGTGGAGGCTGCTTACAGCTAGTGTAGTCTAACCAGTACAGATGAATACAACTCAGAAAGGGACCCAGCTATTACAATCATGCTGCAACTTTTCCTACCCTGGCGCTGCTGTAGTTCATATAAAAAGGTATATAAAGGAGTTGTGTGCTTTTTGTCAGCAGCAGCCTTGAAAGAGACCAACTGAGAAAAGTTAAACTCATCTGCCACTAGGCTTGCAATGGAGGAATCCACATGGCTGACACTCTAGCAGGCCAGGGGGCAGCAGAGTTCACCCTCTCTCATGGTGACTTCCAAGCAGTACAGCTGACTTAAAGCACACAACTCATTTACATTTGTTCTATTTCTCAGATACCGCAAACCATTTCTAATCATATTTTGTTCAGCGCAAATTAGGGAGTTTATTGCAGTAACATTATATCTTATAGGAAAATCAAAATGTGATTTTTGCAAAAGTTGTCCATTACTATACATCTATGTTTTGGGTAAGCACATCGATACCTCATCAAAAGGGGGGCATATTCCTTAAATGTAAGTTCTACCAAAAACTTGTATAGGTAGAGTGGGAGGATTGAAATCCCTGATGGGTTTCTACTGATATGCAGGACTCCATTAAAGAGATTTCCCTACCTAAGGTTCCAAATACACAAAAATGAGGGAAAATCTCCAACAGCAACACACACACTTCCTGTTTGGGTAAAAGTCATCAGTACAGGAAGTAAGGGAAAATCACTTTAATGGAGCCCCGGAGAGCCGTAAACACCTACCGGCGTTGTAATCCTTGCCCACATATAATAGGGTTGGTACTGGGAAATTCAAGTGTGGTCTGGTGCACAGTCTGGAAATAAATGTTCTAACAATGATTTGATTTCATGTGTATTGTACAATGTAGACAGTGATATGGAACACTAGTAGCTTGATGGTGGTTATTTACCGGAGAGACTCCTTTCCATAGTCCAATAATGTTTTCATTACGAATTACTGAGACAAAAAGTTGGACCATTCCAACACGGTTCCTAAAGAGAAGCAAATCATCAGCTCCAATATATTGTGAATTGATATACTTAAAGAATACAACTGTTATGGAACACTCCAATTTCAATTTAGTGTTTGTAGCTAAATAATAAATGTAGGGCTGCAACTAACAATTATTTTCATAATCGATTAGTTGGCCGAATATTTTTTGCTTACCGTATATACTCGAGTTAATATATTGTGAATTGATATACTTAAAGAATACAACTGTTATGGAACACTCCAATTTCAATTTAGTGTTTGTAGCTAAATAATAAATGTAGGGCTGCAACTAACAATTATTTTCATAATCGATTAGTTGGCCGAATATTTTTTGCTTACCGTATATACTCGAGTATAAGGCGAGAGGAGCTCCAGGTGGGGTTGTAATTTAGCGGGCAGGCACCTCTGAGCCAGCTAAATTAGGACCCCACCTGGAGCTCCTCCCACTGGACCAGCGCGCCGCTGACTCGTCCCTGCTCTCTCCGTGATGTG